ATTCATTTTTTGCTTTATTCGTATTTATCAGCTTTTAACTATGCTGGCGAGCAAGACAATGACCTCGATGTTTTTTGTATGAGAACATAATTACACAAAATAATTCAAATGTTTACCTGTCTTCCCAGGAGGGCATATGCACTTGTACGACCCCACCCTGTCAACACATGTTCCGCCATTTTGACAAACAGGGTACCCATCATCTGTCTTGCATTCATCGATGTTAATAGAACAATCTGAGCCTTCCCAACCAGTGGTACATTTGCAGTAATATCCACCAATTATATTGGTACATGTTCCTCCATTCTTGCATGGTTGAGATAGCGTTGAACACTCATCAACATCAAGTTCACATCGCTTCCCAGTAAAATTAGCAGGACAGCTGTAGAAGTTGAGAGGAATCAGTGAATCAAAAGTATCTCATTTGCAGTGGTTATGTACTTCTCATTTGCAGTGAAATTTAGGAAATAGATGATTAATCTGCTTAAGATAAAGCGGCTCACTCTCATAAATCAACTGAGGAGATTGTCTTGTAATGGGACTATCCAGAGCTCTTATACGAACATTTAAGATCTAATTATCTTAGGAAAAGTACAAAAACACTATATAACCGGACTTTGTATGCCTGTAAATCGCATAATATTTCTCCTTATTGCTATTCCTTGAAGGACTGATGCTATGGTTAGTAAATATTGGCAAAACAAGTAGTACTAGGGCTTTCTCTTCCTTCTTACGCATTAAGCATACCAAAAAATCAACAGGTTTGTTTAAAAGTATTCTGTGCTTATATTGAAGAATCTAAACTAACCACACGTGTACTATTTTGCTTAATTATTATAGTAAAAACGCATTTGCGTCAAGTAAGGACTCTAACCTGCAATGCGTGGAACCATTGATAATCGAGCACGCTCCTCCGTTCAGACACCAACCAGTTGTACATGTAAAAACTGCAATAGAGAGCCAGAGAGTGTTGTTTCAGTTCACTCTTTGAAAAAAGTCAGGTAGTCTAGACGATGAGATGATCCCAACTGTGGTAAATAAGAGGACATACCACAAGAAACTATCGTGAATTTGTTTTTTACCACAAATAATTTTTTTACCAATACTGCGTGCGTTTTGCAAGCTAAATGAACAACGGAAATCTCATTTCAAACGGAACCAAAACATTTATTTCAACAAATCTTGATACATACTTTTTTGGCTTTGTCTGCCCAGTCAGGAATTATATTTCCAATGACAGAAAAGTCGTGAAAGTCCATTGTTTTTCTTTAAAGTATAAGTTAATCGCGAGCAAAGTAGCGACCGTGGTATATACTTTTATTTACCACGGCTCTCGACCAATCAGAAAGCGAGAAAATTATCAGATGTGGTATAACTTATTAGTTATTAATAATGCATGAGCTATTACTCCAATAAGGGCTGTCCATTTAATCAGGTGATTGACCTTGTAAATCTAATGCAACACTGTGATACAACACTAGTGTTGTATAAGATTTACAACACGGTCGTCACCATTGAGATAAATTAATCCAACACTAGCAAATGTCTCAGCTTGAGTATCGCATCATAGCCCTTCACTAGATTTTGAAGGAATAAAAAACATATAGCAGCACTCCCTTATGCAACAAAATAGTCTTCGGCCGACAGCGCATCTTACGTCCTCGCGATTATATTAATTATAATAATTTATAAAACTTATTAATAATGCATGAGCTATTACTCCAATAAGGGCTGACCATTTAATCAGGTGATTGACCTTTTAAATCTGATACAACACTAGTGTTATAAGATTTACAACACGGTCGTCACCAAACACTGACAAAGGTCTCAATTTTAGTATCGCATCATAGACCTTCACTAGGTTTTAAAGCAATCAAAGATGGATAACAGAACTCGCTTATGCAACAAATGGCTTGCTTTCCATGTGGGATGGATAATTATTCTAAATGTTCTGTGTTGCAGTAAATTGCGCATGTTTAATAGCGACTATACTCAGCAGTTACCTTAATTGTCATTTTCCGTCATTTGTCATTTATCTCACTGTAATTCATGTTAATGTGTCTTGGAGTTTTATAAGTCGTTTACAACATTCGCGTCCGTGTTGTATGGGAATTATAATCTCGAGCACGGCCGCTCATGTTGTAAACTATACATACAATATAAAGACAGAAAATTATTACATAGAATTAAGCATACAAGGGAGAGCTGCGCGTGATACCGGAGTCTTTCACAGTGCGGCCGTGGCAATAAGATTTTCACCGGCCCTAAAGGTATAGGTGCCAGTTGAATTGAGATGCTGAACTGTGGGCATAATGAACCTATAAAAGCAATTTTCAAAACGCTGTTGTTGATTGGTTTTATAGTTATAAGTATGTATCGACCATATGAAAAAGGCGTGGCTAACATGACGCAATAGTTTGAAAGTTTTTCCGTACAGTAAGAATGTGAAAGTTGCAGCCAGAATCCATAATGAATTAAAAGTATTTTTATTTTATTTATTTTATTATTTTATTACTAAACCAAGACAAGTCAGCGACTAGACTATTTTGTATCCCATGAGGCACGGGATCGTGACGTAATTCACTAGTAATCCACAAAAACAAAGCTCGCGCGCTTAAGCCAAGAAAGCAATGAAAGGACTATATATCCACCTGAATTAAATCCATATCCAACGCATTAAATACTTTATTTTCACTGTGCCTCAATAGGGAAATTTTGCTCGTGGGATTTCAAAGTACTTTTTATTGTGTTCTATACTTAGAGATGTTTTGAATGGTTTTGAGGCTAACACAGTGTAAGGAGGTCGCTGAAAGAAAGGGTTCATAAATGCAATGCAGTCAAAATATAGAAAACAAATGCTTAAAACATTTCATGCAAAAGGTCGGCTGCCTGTAGACTGTGGTCTTTTAGAGTGTACATTTTGTAAGATTACCGCATCCTATACGGTATATGGCAGTCCCTAATCCGGAATAAGAGGAATGTACTGCTGTGTTGTTTAAAAAACGAGAGTGCGTGTTTTATCAGGATATATAGATTCGAGCCACAATTAAAATAATTTTGATCCTACACGTAAGAATGGCTACTAGTCTATGCTAAACCCGTGCATTGCACATTGATCGAGATTTTAAGAAACCTAGCAAAGATGATGTGCGACGAGAAAGTGCTGATGAACTTAAACATTACTTCTATATATCTTATATAGAGCTGATTAAGAAAACATCAGTACTTTATCGGGATAATGGCCCATCATGTGACCAAATAGTTAGTCGATTTCTCATTAGACTAAAAGCTCATGAATTATTATTGAGTTCTAGAATTAATTTTGCAAATGGTAGATTGACCTCAGACAAGACTTCGATTACTTACTTTGCTTCGTGAAGGCATCTTCGACTGCGATGGTAACTAGGCCTAAGGCCAACACGACAGTTCCTTTCAATGTCTATTATAATAATAATAGCATAGTGTAAAGCCTTCTTAGCTGGCTGCTACACAGGCTTGACACATTGCAACCTTTTTGAAGATATCCGTGCTACGGAGTTAGATCAAGTCGCGTTCACGTTAACGGGTAAGTTTAACGGTGTGGTAATATAAACGGTGTGGTAAATATTCAGATTTTCTTTCACATTTTTCTTTTCTTACAACTTCAATCTCCCTTGAAAAGTTGATTAGTTTACAGACTTTGTAAATAAATATATATTTTTTCACTGGATGGTAAATTGAATTTTCATGTTCCTGGCTGTGATATTTTAGACTTTAAGTGAATTTCTGGATGAGACAATTCAATGCTCTCTGATAATTTTCAATTTGTACACCTCACAGCTCGGATGCGCGCTTTGCTGGGAGCTATACATCTATAATTACAATATGTAATAAACAGAAAACCATTTAGTTAAGGTTTCTCATGGTGTCTACACTCTAATAGGCCGTATATTTTGCACCATGGATACTACTTTTGACTTACCAACATCTATATAGCTTCTACAGGATTCTACTGACGATCAGATACCTTGTCGTTTAGAATGGAACTGATCTACAATACCCTTTCATCATATCATATTCATATAGTCCCGGGGGGGGACTCCCTCATGAAAGAGTACAGGGATGCTTTCCTTCCCTTTTATGGGTTGAAATCTGTAAATATTTTAAATAAACAAGAATACACATACAGTCAATTTTATTAACAGTGTTTACTTGTAAAAACATATTATTAAAAGACAACAACGAATTCATTTGCATAAATATGTTTTTTTTGTTGCGAGGGAGAATCGTAAGATCTTTAGGGACTGCGCAATATTTATCAGTAGGTGGGTGGTTAGAATCCAGATTTTGGGGTTTGCAAAAACTAATTTTATGTACTTAAAAGGGGGAGCACAGTCTAACATTAACTAGAACTTTAATTGGAAACTAAAAAGTCAACGGTGTCAGATTCTGTGCTTTTTGGGCAAACACTTATTGAAAAGAATACCTATCAAAAACACGATATATGCAAATGACTTTGTTGGTGTCTTATGTCTTTACAAGTGAACAATGGTCTCTACTTAATATCGAAATTTGAGTGGTTCTTTTTAGGGGTGAACCGATTAAGTTTATAGTTTCATCAACCTCCCCCCGGAAAAATATTATGCTCTGTCTGAATTCCGCAAACTCAGAGACAAAAAGGTCAATGGAAAACGGATGTTCACTACAATGCCTTGAAATTCTTTGGTTTATGGTTTCTCTGGCCACAGGACAACAGGAAACATTTGATTTGACAACGATTACGAGTTTAAGTACAAGTATAAATTTAAAAATTGGGTTTCAGTGAAACCACGGCAGCATTAATTTGTACTTAAACAATGACCACTTTCCTGTTCTTTTTTTTTATTTTTTTTAATTAATGCCTTTATTAGATAATATAAACAGCTGATTACAGGTTGATACAGCCTTTTGCACAAATTATGAGACATTTTTATATATATAAATATACCTAACCAAATATCAAAAACACCCAAGAAATTATGGGATACCGTCGCTGATATTTTGTCTGTAACAACCTGATGCTAGGCAATCATGACAAAATATAATAGAGATATACCATAATTTCTGGGGTGTTTTTGATATTTGGTTAGGTATATTTATATATATAAAAATGTCTCATAATTTGTGCAAAAGGCTGTATCAACCTGTAATCAG